GTTCCACCCCTACTCACCTCTGAGCACCGTCCCGTGGTTCCACCCCTACTCACCTCTGAGCATCATTTCGAGGTTCCACCCTCTACTCACCTCTGAGCACCGTCCCGTGGTTCCACCCCCTACTCACCTCTGAGCACCATGCCGTGGTTCCACCCCCTACTCACCTCTGAGCACCATGCCGTGGTTCCACCTCCTACTCACCTCTGAGCACCATGCCGTGGTTCCAGCCCCTACTCACCTCTGAGCACCGTCCCGTGGTTCCACCCCCTACTCACCTCTAAGCACCATCCCCGTGGTTCCACCCCCTACTCACCTCTGAGCACCGTACCGTGGTTCCACCTCCCAGTACCTCCCCTTTTAGAGAATACAGATCCAAGTATCATTTTGTGCTACTAAGTAGTTTGTATGAAATTTGCTAATGATAACAAGAAAGACAGTAAAATAGATTCCCTGCAGTAAGCAACAATATACCCCCCCCACACACAAACACACACCACAATAGACTCCCCCCAGCAACAATGGACTCCCCACAACAAAATACCACCCCAGCAATAATAGACCCCCAACAGCAGCAACAGATCTGCTGTAAAAAAGCCCTGTGCCAGAGTGCATTCTAGGCTAGGTTCACACCTTTTACATCTGCACTTTCACATTTTTGTGGGGGGGGGGGGATATTTTTTTCGGGTATTTTTCATGCGCTGTGTATAGGACTAAAACATATGTTGATCCACTAAAAAGCACCTATAGTATTTTCACTGACACAGAACAGTGTGTGTGAACAGGCCCCATAGAGAAGAATCAAAATCTTTTTGTAATGCGTAGTTGGGCCTGGGGCAATGTTCAATAAATGGCACAGGTGTAAACATCGACTTCCAGTCCAATTTTATTCATTAACAAAGGAAGTGGAACATTCCAACCTCCTGGCTATTTGTTGCCCAGCTCTGTCCCCCCATCAAGACAGAGCTGCTTCAGTCCCAGCCTCTTTACTGGACTATTTGTTCCAGTGTCCAATTTGGACCTTCAATCTGCTCACACACTTAGTGCTCAGCTCACCACTCACATTACAATCTGATCATACAATCTCCTTTTAGATCTACCAAGGAAGGTAAGTATATACCCTAACTTTTCCCAATAGACTTTTTTTTTTTTTAAATTTTGACTACAGTTTTTCAGCACTGTGGGAAGCCGTGAATTGTTATTAGGGTTTGCTTTAATTTAGACCTTAAGTCACACTACACATTGGAGGGTTCAGACCCATTTCCTTTACGCTCGCATAGAGGTACTATCCCATGCCAAAATAACCAGCACACAACCTATTGTACATAACTATAGAAAATACATATAACCATGCAGTGAAAAATGGAATATGTTACCCTAAAATTATATTTACTTGACTTTTGTAAATCCAATATTATTAAATAAAATATTGTGCAACCCTTAAATTATGCTGTATATAAACCCTGAAACACAAATGTAATATATTGTAGTTTACCTGTCCTTTTTTTTATTTTTTTTTTTAATTTAAATATTTATTTTCAAGTGAACAAGTTATACAAACTTTCACTTTTAAAAACATTAACACAATTATAGTACAATAATCATATCACCCATTTTTCTACTCCCCCCCCCCACATCTCCTATCTAAACGAAAGTGAATTCCTCTTGTATCTTATTTTTCTCTCTCTTTGGGAGGTTTATGTTTAAAATCTCAGTTTTTGTTGGATTGACTTGATATCTCCCCGTACTCTTTCAATGCCTTCATTAAATTTGGTAATGTTATCCTAGGGTTCCCCACAGAAAACAACATATCATCCGCATAAGCTGCCACCTTATGCTCTGTGTCTCTTATCCGTATTCCCTTTATATCCGTATTATTCCTTATTGTAGACAATAGAGATTCTAATGACAAAATATATAATAGTGGAGACAGAGGGCATCCCTGTCTTGTTCCATTTAGCATCCCGAAATACTCTGCATAGATCCCCATGGACCATGATTCTATCAGAGTGTACACTGTATAACTTCCTTATCCATTCTCTCATTCTGACTCCCAACCCCAATACTTCCAGTGTGTCCATCATGTATCCCCAATCTGCCCTATCAATTGCCTTTTCGGCATCGATCGAGAGCAGCACCACAGGGGTTTTCTCTTTTCTACTTTTATGGATGAGGAACAAAGATCTCAATCCATTGTCTCTGCCCTCTCTCCCTGGAACAAAACCCACTTGATCTATATGTATCCATTCTGGCATTAGTTCTTTCAATCTATTTGCGTATAATTTAGTATCTGTGTTCAGTAAAGAAATCGGTCTAAAACTTGAACAATGTTCAAGTTTACCTGTCCTTAGATATAATGACTGCCTTTTTTTAAGGCATTTTTTACTTTATTTTCACTGTTCTTTATGCCAGTAAAACATTTCCTGTCTGAGGGTGACAACGCACTTCCACCATACTGTATCTATTGGAGCAGTTGTGTCACCCTAAGCTACTCTTCTGGTTTGAACTTCAAATGTCTCCACTTTTTCCCCATCTCCATTTTATTGTGAAGGGGAGGTTGTTTAGTTCACAGAATGTGGCTTGGAACGCTAATAGTATTGTTTAAGGTTTCAGCTGAGTACATAGAAAATTACAGGGATATTGGATTTCATTTGGTATCAACAGGTACTTTTTCTGTACTTGCAGAAAAATGTACTTAGTCTGAAGGAAGAAAACTAATGCAGCCACCAGGTTTAAGTCTAGTAAGTTGCAATATATTAAATGTTATATTAAAAATATATTACCATGCACGTCTTCATTTGAGTCCACGCACTCCTCCTTACTCATGGCCGCAGATTAAAGAGGACGGGTAATTTTTCTGTCAGCTGCAGGAAGTTTGCTTCACTATATATCCTACATTGGAATATCAAAATGGCTTTGAGGTGGATTATTGTTGAGGATCCTGGGAATACTTTTCACTGCATGATAAGAGGACACATTTTAGGTCTTGTGAACCTCTCGAATACACGATCTTTACACTATGTGCCTTCAGCACTTTATTGTTTTTCTTTGTACTCTATTATGTTTCTAATTTGCATTGAAATGCTTGCTGTACTTTTTTATATTTAACTGAAGATACTTTCAATAAAAAAATTACCCGATTAAAAAAAAAAAAAAAAAAAAAAAAAAGGTATTGGGCAGAGTCAGCACTACAGCAATACAGTGTGTGGTCACAGTTGGGATGGGAAGTCAAACATGGAATCTTCTTTCTTAGCGACCCTGCATTGTCAAACTTTGAAACGGGCAGAATAGTGAGAATTGTCTGTCTCTAGTTATTACGGGTACTGATTGGCAGGTTAAATTTTAATACTTGATTTCCTTGAAGGCTGGAAAAGAAACAAACAGAAAAAAAAAAAGATTTTTTTTCTGGATTATAATGACTTCACTTGTAGCCAGGCCTGGAAGGCACACAGCCTTTTGGGCCCAAAACATAATCTTTCTGCACAGAACATTTTCTTCTTTTCCTGGACCGATCCTGCATATTGTAACAATAAGTCCACAACTAAAGCTGAAATCCAGGCAAATAATAAATTGGCAATTTTATATATGTATTCATTTTAAATAAATATAACAATTCAGTTATGTAATAATTTGAAATAAAATATAACTCAACATGCAGCTGTACATGTTTGTATGTTCCTGACATCTTGATATAATCCTGTTCACAGCACTGAGACTGGGAGTTGGAGAAGCAGCACTAGGAGCCAATCAGATATGTTGCATACATATGTGATGCCAGGGAACATGCTGGCAGGAGGAGAGAGCTCTAAGAGCTGATGGGTGAACTGTTTCTGCTTCTTTACTGCCCAATCACAGGCTGAGAGGTGAGCAAGCACTATTGCTTAACAGAAGCAGAGAAAAGTCAGATGGCCAGCCTGGCTTTACAGTCTGCACAATGAAGTAAATATCAGGACTGGGTGACCAAATATACACATCCTGACCTGTAAATCAATACATTTTATATATATTTCAACTGTGTCTTTAATTGTTTGCCTGGAGTTCAGCTAAAAATACTTTCATTTCTACTGATAACAGGAAATAAATTAATGGCTGATATTTTTACAAGGAGAAGCTGCCTGCTATCTATAGGCAATATACCTGATGATAATATGATGATGATATGATGATACCCTCATCATGTCACGACTCGACTACTGCAACTCCCTCCTCACTTGCCTGCCTCGCCGCTGGCTATCCCCGCTTCAGTCGATCCTGAATACGGCTGCCAGACTCATTCACCTTTCCAACCGCTCCGTTTCCGCCACCCCCCTCTGCCAATCCCTCCACTGGCTTCCGATTGCGCAGCGGATCAAATTCAAAATCCTAACACTGACGTACAAAGCTGTCCACCACACTGCCCCGAACTACATCACCGACCTAATATCCAAGTGCTGCCCAGCACGCACACTCCGCTCCTCACAAGACCTCCTTCTCTCTAGTTCCCTGGTCTCCTCCTCCCATGCCGCCTCCAGGACTTCTCCAGGGTGTCACCCATCCTCTGGAACTCCCTTCCCCAACCCATCAGATTATCACCTACTCTCCTCTCCTTTAGGCGCACCCTGAAAACCCATCTCTTCAGGGATGCCTACCCCACCCCCTGCTGACTTGCCGACCTCCTCCACTCTTCCTACCACCCCATCCCCCACAGCTATCTCCTCCTGTGCCACCATCCCCTCCCTCCTAGATTGTAAGCTCGAAAGAGCAGGGCCCTCAATCCCCTCATGTTTTGCATTGTATTGGTATTGTTCTGTCACATGTTCTGTCCCCCTCTGTAATGTACAGCGCTGAGCGAACTATCGGCGCTTTATAAATACTGTATAATAATAATAATGATAAATCCATCACTGATTCTAGCCATTTCTTCTGGCAGTGACTTAGGGTGGTGTTGTAATACACATTGTCCTTCTGAGGTTCCACAAATTCAGGTACATAAAGCTAATTAGTATTTTCTTATTGTTAATAGGACAATGCCACTGGAACCGGGCAAGACGCAGTCTGGGGAAGAATCATCAAATGAAGCCAGCAGGACGAGCCGTGGGGACAACTCGGACGTGTCAGAGGAATCTGTCCGGAAGCGAACTCGGAATAGTACCCCCAGCCCACACCGAGGAAACGCTGCCCAGGGTGAGGTCTACCAGGTCATTTCTGTTAAAGTGAACAACTGCTGTCAATACTGTGAGGTGGTGAATACAAGGCCTATACAACTGTGCAGTGTAGGGTTAACAGCAGAGCAACATTAAGCTTGACTTATCTATTCCGTTCTTTTTTTTTTTACCCTTCTTATTTAAAGCAGTAATAAACCACAAAGCAAAAATGTATTATATTGCAGCTTACCTATTCTTAGATATGGTGGCTGCATTAGTTTTCTTTTTTTTTAGGATTTCTTTCCCTTATTTTCACCTGGTGATCTGGCCTGTATGTCTGTTGTTTTTCAAAAGAAGAAGCTCTCCTGCAGTTCCAGGAATAAGATAAACTAATTCCCACTGAAAACAGTGCTTACTATGGTCAGCTTTTACTGTAACTGCTTATAAAGCGTTAGCTGGAGTTTGGCTTCCATTTGTTAGTGTATTTAAATCTTCGAGTGCATCAAACACTCCCTGTAATGGTAAAGCATACTGAGCCCTTCACAAAGCTATGTGAAAGGGCAAGGACGCCATGTTGTTCAGAATTCAGCCATGACGGTTTGTAACACAAGTTGGCAAATAGCAGCAGTGGTCCCCTTTTCTTCATCCCCATTACATCCCAGTGACAGCCCAGGGCCACTCCTCAGCCTCTTTGTTGATCATTTGGTCTCTGTCAACACTCCCTTGATACCAAAGAAAAGTGGACTGCAAACACATCTGATAGCTCTTGTGTACCATCAAATGAAGAAAGATCTGTCAGGTTATGAGAGCCAACATATCGCCTTACTCATTGACTGAAGTCTGCTGAAACCAAGATTTGCAAGTATTTTTTCATATTCTTTGTAAAGAGCTGCGCAAACTGTTGGCGCTATATAAATCCTGTATAATATTATAATAATTTTCAACTCCTTTTTATTTCTCTGTTGCATTAATGTCTCTTTTGTAATATTTTTTTTTGTGAATGTATTATTTGCACCATTTATACCTTTCCATTATTATTAAACTATATTTTGAAAAGAGCTAAAGCTGTCTCTAATGCCCTAATGCAAACTAAAAGGATCCCTGTCTCTTGAGTGCTAATGTGTAGTCTAAATCCCTGAATATGCCTGTCCGTGGTGACAGCGCGTGCTACAGACGTTTATTCTAAAATCATAATTGGTATTAATATCTCTTGGTAAGAAAAAGTAGGTGGTGGCAGGCTAAAGGGTTAATTGCTTAGTTAACTAAACCCAGTGACAATCGCTCTGTCTGTCGTCACCTAGATTGTGGTCCCACAAGCTGGAAAATCTTTGTGCCGGGTAGGGCTGAGAGCATCATTGTTGCGTATCAGTGACAGCGTAATGTGAGTTCGATCACCCATTGGTCACAAGTTTGTGTAAAGGGCAGTGGTCTGACACCGTGTTTGTCTAACTCCCCACCCCCCAGATTAAACTGCTGCTGTCCAAAGGTGCCCCCTCTGCTCCTTCATCCAGAGTGTAGCCACTCTAATACAGGAGGTGTGTTACTGGCCAGATCACCAGCTGAACCACCAGGAAAAAAGAAAACTAATGCAGCCACCACATCTAATGACTGATGAGCTGCAATATATAACATTTTTGGTTTTGGGTGTAATACTGCTTTAATGTGTTATTTGTACCTGACATATCTGTTGATGTAATTTTTCAGTTCTTCAGCAGCATCTGATGCGTTTTCAAAGCCTTAGATCTAGCTAGTCACTGTCTAGTCTCTGTGTAGTAGTAGTATTATTATTATTCTACAGTATTTATAAAGCGCCGATAGTTCGCTCAGCGCTGTACATTACAAAGGGGGACAGAACATGTGACAGAACAATACCAATACAATGCAAAACATGAGGGGATCGAGGGCCCTGCTCTTTCAAGCTTACAATCTAGGAGGGAGGGGATGGTGGCACAGAAGGAGATAGCTGTGGGGGATGGAGTGGTAGGAAGAGTGGAGGAGGTCGGCAAGTTAGCAGGGGGTGGGGTAGGCTTCCCTGAAGAGATGGGTTTTCAGGGTGCACCTAAAGGAGAGGAGAGTAGGTGATAATCTGATGGGTTGGGGCAGGGAGTTCCAGAGGATGGGTGACACCATGGAGAAGTCCTGGAGGCGGGCATGGGAGGAGGAGACCAGGGAACTAGAGAGAAGGAAGGAGGTCTTGTGAGGAGCGGAGTGTGCGTGCTGGGTGGTACTTGGATATTAGTTCGGTGATGTAGTTCGGGGCAGTGTGGTGGATGGCTTTGTACGTCAGTGTTAGGATTTTGAATTTGATCCGTTGGGCAGTGGAGGGATTGGCAGAGGGGGGTGGCAGCGGAAACGGAGCGGTTGGAAAGGTGAATGAGTCTGGCAGCCGTATTCAGGATCGACTGAAGCGGGGATAGCCAGCGGCGAGGCAGGCCAGTGAGGAGGGAGTTGCAGTAGTCGAGTCGTGATATGATGTGGGAGTGGATGAGCTGTTTAGTGGTTTCTGGGGTTAGGAACGTGCGGATTTTGGCGATGTTGCGCAGGTGGAGTCTGCATGAGCTTGTTAAAGATTGGACTTTGGGCTGGAAGGATAGGTTGGAGTCCAGAATGACACCAAGTACTCTGGCCTGCAGGGCGGGTTTGATGGTGGCGTTGTTGGACATGATGGAGAAGTCAATGGGGGGTGGTGTCCGGGCTGGGGGGAAGACAAGAAACTCGGTCTTGGAGAGGTTCAGTTTAAGGAAGTGGAGCGACATCCAGTCAGATATGTCGCTCAGTAGGTGTGTGATTCGGGCGGAGACCGAGGGGGTAAGGTGGGGGGTTGAGAGATAGATTTGTGTGTCGTCGGCATATAGGTGGTAGTTGAAGCCGTGCGAGTGTATGAGTGTTTCTTAATTTATTCACAGATGCTTCCTTGCTACATTTGTATGGCCCTGAAAACACTCAGCATCTCACCCCTGGTGCATACCTACATCTATATTTCTTCATGTAAATAAGCTATAGACCTCAGATGTTGGATTGATCATTATATTTGTTCTTTAACATGATAGAGTTTCCTGCACAACAATGTGCTAATCGTTGCTGTTTATATAGATGATCAAGTACAAGTCTTTCATAATACATGCCCCACGTTCACATATTCCAGCTAAGAAGAGACAAAATCATAGTAGGTAGCCTAGCAGTGCAGCAAAAGATAGGCATATGGATCAAGGTTTGTAGCAGTCATTAATAAATGCACCTTTCTATGGCAATCTGCTGATTATTATATATTGTATTGACTTTCCTGTATGTTGCAGCTAGTCCCCCTCGTTTTGTGTCAGTCGAGGAGCTCATGGATGCAGCTAAGGGTGTCACTAACCTAGCCTTGGCTCATGAGATTGTGGTGAACGGAGGCTTTCAGATCAAACCTATGGAGCTTCCTCATGGAAGGTAAGATAAGGATAGGCTAGGCAGTGGTAAAGGCCCTAAGCCAGGGGTGCCCAACTGTTGACCCTCAGGCCACATGTGGCCAGTGGAGCCCTCCGATGTGTCCCACGACCTCCTGCTCTGGGATGGCACACCAAATCCTGAATGCATCACGCCTGCAGGATAGAAGTGCATCAGGGTGAAAAGCAGTCTTCAGCCCCTTTCGCATGATCGATCCGATCGGGTCCACCTGTCTGTTTTTCAGGCGGACCCAATTGGATCTTCCATTCTATGGTGGACTTGTGTCTGTTTACACCTCTCTACCTCCAATCCGATCTTCTACTAATCTTCACCCGTCTGGGTGGGTTGGATCAGAGGGCCCACAGAGTAGAGCAGGCTGTGTCCATGTCCACTCTGCATATGCAGACCTGTTATCCACCTGGTCTGCTCTGCTCATTGTGGTCGGGGACGCTTCAAAAGGTTGGGCACTCCTGCCCTAAGTGGTAAACCTAAAATACAGTACAGTATATGTCCCATAGTAGGACTGTCTGAATGGACAGCTTGTGATACCCGTTGTCACCTACAGGTGGCAGTGCAGATGTAAGTTAATGCATAAGCTGTAAATTTATGTATCCCTCTTCATAGGAGTCCTATTACTGGGCAATTGCACAATCTGTCTTTATTGACCTTCTTCTGAAAATGCTAGTTGACAGACAGTATCCTCATGTCTTACATACTTTCATGGTCACCAACACAGAACAAAGATACCAATCATAAGTTTCAACTTTTGCTTAATTCACTTGCTGCATTCTTGTTTGGGTCTGTAATTTGGAAATCATTCTAACCAGAGAAAGCCAAGCAATGAGCATTTTTCAGAAGGGGTCAGCAATGGCAGTCCATGTGTTTTCTTTCAAGAGAGGTATCCTTTATAACATAGTAACATTGCAACACAAGTATCCCTTATACCATTTCTCTAAACAGATACCTTTTTATATAGAAAATCTCCAGTCTTGTGTAAAAGTATGTACAGTGAAGGAAATAAGTATTTGATCCCCTGCTGATTTTGAATGTTTGCCCACTCACAAAGAAATTATCAGTCTAAAAATCGAATGTTCGGTGTATTGTAACACTGAGACAGAATAGCAACAAAAAATTCAAAAGAAATGCATGTCTAACAAATTATGCACTGATTTGCATGTTCATGAGGGAAATAAGTATTTGATCCCCCTATCATTCAGCAGGATTTCTGGCTACCAGGTGTCTTTCAAACAGGTAACAAGCTGAGATTAGAAGAAGTCTCTTAAAGGGAGTGCTGCTAATCTCATTTTGTTACCTGTATAAAAGACACCTGTCCACAGGAGCAATCAAACAATCAGATTCCAAACTCTGCACCATGGCAAAGACCAAAGAGCTGTGCAAGAATGTCAGGGACAAGATTGTAGACCTACACAAGGCTGGACTGGGCTACCAAACTATCGCCAAGCAGCTTGGTGAGAAGGTGACAACAGTTGGTGTAACCATTCGCAAATGGAAGACACACAAAACAACTGCCAGTCTCCCTAGGTCTGGTGCACCATGTAAGATCTCACCTCGTGGAGTGTCAATAATCATGAGAACAGTGAGGAATCACCCCAGAACTACACGTGAGGATCTTGTCAATGATCTCCAGGCAGCTGGGACCACAGTCACCAAGAAAACAATTGGTAACACACTATGCCGACAAGGATTGAAATCCTGCAGTGCCCACAAGGTCCCTCTGCTCAAGAAAGCACATGCCCAGGCCTGTCTGAAGTTTGCACTGAACATCTGAATGTTGCAGAGGAGGACTGGCTGAAAGTGTTGTGGTCAGATGAGACCAAAATTGAGCTCTTTGGCATCAACTGTGTTTGGAGGAGGAGGAATGCTGCCTATGACCTCAAGAACACATCCCAACTGTCAAACATGGTGGTGGAAACATTCTGCTTTGTGGGTGTTTTTCTGCTAAGGGGACAGGACAACTGCACCGCATCAAAGGGACGATGGACGGGGCAATGTACATCAAATCTTGGGTGAGAACCTTCTTCCCTCACCCAGGGCATTGAAAATGGGTTGTAGATGGGTGTTCCAGCATGACAATGACCCAAAACACAGGGCCAGGGCAACAAAGGAGTGGCTCAAGAAGAAGCACATTTAGGTCCTGGAGTGGCCTAGCCAGTCTCCAGACCTTAATCCAATTGAAAATCTGTGGAGGGAGCTGTAAGTTCGAGTTGCCAAATGTCATCCATCAAACCTTAATGACTTGGAGAGGATCTGCCAAGAGGAGTGGGCCAAAATCTCTCCTGATATGTGGGCAAACCTGGTGGCCAACTACAGGAAACATCTGACATCTGTGATTGCCAACAAGGGATTTGACACCAAGTACTAAGTCATGTTTTGTGAAAGGGATCAAATATTTATGCACTGATTTGCATGTTCATGAGGGAAATAATTTGTCAGACATGCATTTCTTTTGAATTTTTTGTTGCTATTCTGTCTCTCACTGTTACAATACACCTACCATTCGATTTTTAGACTAATTTCTTTGTGAAGGGGCAAACATTCAAAATCAGCAGGGGATCAAATACATATTTCCTCCACTGTATCATTACAACAGAAGACATTTTTGTAATTTAATCTTATTAAAAATGTCCTTTTCATTTCAAACTACTACTACTCTTGGGTTACCTGACCTGCTAGATCCTTATGTCTCTTTTTTTAGGCTTCAGGGCAAAAACTATCCAACTGGGTTCTAAGCTCTGCCCAACTGGTCATATATTTTATATTACAGATAATGCAGAATCGGCACCCATCAAAAGGGTGCAGAACTGAGATCTTTCTATTGGTGTCACCAAATGGTTCAACCAGAGTCCAACCATGACTGAGATATCCATTTTAGTAGACTTATCCTCTCATTTGTTTTTATTTTCCTGCAATTTCTTGCAGCCTGGAAAGAACAGTTCGGGACATTGTGCACAAAGCATTCTGGGATTGCTTAGAGGCTCAGTTCAATGAAGACCCTCCAGTGTATGACCATGCAATAATATTGTTGGGAGAAATTAAAGAGGTAATACAGTTCTACCTTCTTTTTTTCAAATTGTCATCTTTTTCGATGACCTGTACAAGAGAAGACAATTCTAATTTAACTTGACATGGAAACACCATAAATTAAAATAGAAAAAACTCTGGATTGCAAGTCTTAATGCAAATGTTTAGATATAGTGTGTGTGGTGTGTGTGTGTGTGTGTGTGTGTGTGTGTACGTGTGTGTGTGTGTGTACGTGCGTGCGTGCGTGTGTGCGTGCGTGCGTGCGTGCGTACACCATTCATAAAGTATTCAGACCCCCTTCACTTTTTAAAATTTTGTTATGTTGCAGCCTGATGCTACAGTTGTTTAAATTCCTTTCTTTTTTATTTATTTTTTTTATCATTCTACACTCAGTACCCCATAAAGACAAAGTGAAAACAGAATTGTAGATATGTCTGCAAACTTATTAAAAAGAAAAACTAAAATAGCACATATACTTACGTGTTCAGAGCCTTTACTCAGTACTTTATTGAAGCACCTTTGGCAGAAATTACAGCCTCAAGTCTTTTTGGGTATGCCACGGCAAGCTTTGCATACCTGGATTGGGGGATTTTATGCCCTTCTTCTGTGCAAATCCTCTTAGGTTCAGTCAGGTTGGATGGGTTCCGTTGGTGGGCAGCCATTTTCAGGTCTCTCCTGAGATGTTCAATAGGGTTCAAGTCAGGGATCTTGCTGGGCCACTCTTGGACATTCACATAGTTGTCCATAAGCCACTCCTGTGTTGTCTTGACTGTGTGATTAGGATCATTGTCATGTTGGAAGGTGAACCTTTGGCCCATTCCTGAGCTTTGTGAAATAGGTTTTCATTGCGGATATCTCACAGTCTGAAAGTCCTTCAGGTGCTTTTTTGCAAATTCCAATGGGGCTTTCTGAATCTTGCAAGTAACACCTGGTTGTGGCTGGTTTATGGTGAAATTATTTTCTTTTCTCTTACGGATTACGACCACCAACAGTGCTCACTGGAACATTAAGAAGTTTAGAAATCCTTCTATAACCAATGCCATCAGTATGTTTTGAAACAATAAAGTTTCAAAGGTCTTGAAAGAGCTGTTTGCTTTTACTCATCATGAGATGTTTCTTGTTTAACACCTTTATAATGAGACACCTTTTTATAGGCCATCAGTTGAAATTGAACCAACTGATATTAATTTGCACTGACAAGGGACAGGATTGCTTCCTAATTACTGATAGATTTCAGCTGGTGTCTTGGCTTTCCATGCCTTTTTGCAACTCCCTTTCTTCATGTGCTCAATACTTTTTCCCTGTGTCTTTCCATCACACACACACACACACACGCACACACACACACACACACACAAAAAGTCTACAAAACCCTGTTAAAATGTCAGGTTTATGTGATGTAAAAAATGAGACAAAGAGAAATCATTTCAGAACTTTTTCCACCTTTTAATGTAAACTATAAACTGTTTGTTGAAGAACAAGCTGAAATCTTTTAGGTGGAGGGAAGTAAAAATAAAAAACTAAAATAATATGGTTGCATACGTGTGCACGCTCTTAAACTAATACTTTGTTGGAGCACCTTTTGATTTTTTTCCAGCACTCAGTCTTTTTGGGTATGAGTCTATTAGCATCGCACATCTTGACTTGGCGATATTTGCCCACTCTTCCTTGCAAAAACACTCCATAACTGTCAGATTGTGAGGGCATTTCCTGTGCACAGCCCTCTTCAGATCACCCTACAGATTTTCGATTGGATTGCGGTCTCGGCTTTGGCTGGGCCATTCCAAAACTTTAATCTTCTTCCGGTTAAGCCATTCTTTTGTTGATTTGGATGTATGCTTTGGGTCGTTATCATGCTGAAATATGAAGTTCCTCTTCATGTTCAGCTTACTAGCAGAAGCCTGAAGGTTTTGTGCCAATATTGACTGGTATGTGGAACTGTATATAATTCCCTCTACCTTAACTAAGGCCCCAGTTCCAGCTGAAGAAAAACATCCCCAAAGCATGATGCTGCCACCACCATGCTTCACTGTGGGTGTGATGTTCTTTTGGTGATGTGCAGTGTTGTTTTTGCGCCAAACATATCTTTTGGAATTATGGCCAAAAAGTTCAACCTTGGTTTCATCAGACCAGAACACACTTTCCCACATGCTTTTGGGAGACTTCAGATATGTTTTTGCAAAAATTTAGCCGGGCTTGGATGTTTTTCTTCATAAGAAAAGGCTTCCGTCTTGCCACTCTACCCCATAGCCCAGACATATGAAGAATACGGGAGATTGTTGTCACATGGACCACACAGCCAGTACTTGCCAGGTATTCCTGCAGCTCCTTTAATGTTGCTGTAGGCCTCTTGGCAACCTCCCAGACCAGTTTTCTTCTCGTCTTTTCATCAATGAGGGACATCCAGTTCTTGGTAATGTCCCTGTTGCGTCATATTTTCTCCACTTGATGATGACTGTCTTCACTGTGTTCCATTGTATATCTAATGCCTTGGAAATTCTTTTGTACCCTTCTCCTGACTGACACCTTTTAACAATGAGATCCCTCTGATGCTTTGGAAGCTCTCTGCGGGCCATTGATTTTGCTGTAGATGTGACTAATAAAATTTCAGGAAAGACCTACTAAAACAGCTGAACTTTATTTGGGGTTAATCAGAGGCACTTTAAATGCTGGCAGGTGTGTACTGACTCCTATTTAACATGATTGTGAATGTGATTTGCTTAATTCTGAACACAGTTATAAGAGGGTGTGCACACTTATGCAACCACATTATTTTAGTTTTTTATATTTCCCCCCACAAAAAAAAAGAATTCAGTTTGTTTTTTCAATTGAGTTGTACAGCTTATAGGGGACATTAAAGATGGAAAAAGTTCTGAAATTATTTTTCTTTGTCTCATTTTTTTACATCACAGAAACCTGAAATTTTAACAGGGGTGTGTAGACTTTTTATATCCACTGTATAATAATCTAATATACGCAGGGATTGGGATCCTTTTTGTTTTAATGTAAGAAAAAGCTTAAACTGTAAAATGGGTTTGGATGGAGTTCCACTTTTTGGAATTTGCAGTAGCCCTTTTATAATTCTATATTATAAATTATATTTCTTGGTTCTGATGGCAATTATTCGATGAAAAGAAAACCTTATGGGTTACTGCACATTACACAGTATCATTACTCTGTAAACCCAAGTTAAACCAATTTTTTAATTCAAAGCCCATCTATATTCAGAAAATCCTTGTATAATTATTGGGCCATATAAATAAAAGTGCGAAAGGGAATTTGTGTTGGTAATATCAACCAAACAGTACTTCCTTATCTTGTGTCTTCTGAGCTTTTAGGTTGAAGCTGATTGGTAGCTCACAGACATGTCTTGTATCAAAATGGGGCATATGGGCAGCACAGTGGCTAAATGGTTAGCACTCCCGCCTGGCAGTACTAGGGTCGTTGGTTCAAATCCCAACCATGGCACCACCTGCTTGGAGTTTGCATGTTCTCCCTGTGCCTGTGTTTTTCTTCTAGGTACTCCAGTTTCCTCCCACACGGCAAAGACATGCTGGTAGGTTAATTGGATCCTGTCTAAATTGGCCCTAGCATGTGTATGTATGAATGTGAGTTAGGGACCTTAGATTGTACACCACTTGAGGGTTAGGGACTGATGTGAATGTACAATATATATGTAAAGCGCTGCGTAAGTACCTGAAATAAATAAAAAAACATGTTCATATAAAAGTGTTATCCTTCTTCCACTCGGATTGTGACAAAATATTTCTGTTTTTAAGGCCCTTTTCTCATTCCTGTTACCTGGTCACACTCGGCTGAGGAATCAGATCAATGAGGTCCTGGACCTGGAGCTCATTAAGCAGCAGGCAGAGAATGGAGCTCTGGATATCCCTAAGCTTGCAGACTTTACTATTGGAATGATGGGAACATTGTGTGCCCCAGCTCGGGATGAGGAGATTAGGAAGCTACGGGACATTAAAGAGCCTGTGCCCTTGTTCAGGTATGTTTAAATACACTTCCCTGCATCTTTTATCTAGATCTCATTGGGATCCCGTCAGAAAATTTCCAGTTCACCCCCACCTACCTACTTACTTTTGATTGGAGTTCTAAAATCTTCTGGAGTACATGCATATTTTCCAGGCTTTTCCTAATTGAAATCACTAAATATGACCATCTGACACTGTTACCCAATTTCCTTTATAATGGTTGATTAATTAATATGCATAATAAAGTATTTATAAAGCGAGAAACCTGTTGTTTTTTTTTTTTTTTTCCCCCCAGATAGAGTAGGGAAAGGGGTAGAACCCCTGTCAGGTTTTTTAAATGTCAATTTCAGGAAGGGTAAATCCCTTCCTGGGGACATTTGTCAGTAAAACATTGGAAGTTTTCCCTTCTTCCTTTTCTGGTGACAATTATAAAATTCCCATTACTTTCTATCTTTTGATAGTGGTTGCCAGGTCATACAAAGAGTATAAATTTTTGCAGTGAGGGCAAAGACTGGAATACAAACCTGACATAGCATTCCAACACTTAGGCACACTGGAGCTTTAGAGGAAGGTTGCACAGCATAGAATAATATGACAAATGGCCACAGTCCTGCCCAGAATGCCCATATTAACAGATTATGACAGACTTACCTGTCACATGAAGCTCTCCAATCAGGGCTGCTGTTAGAAATCATGGGGCCCTCTATAGTTTACCTGACAGACCCCCCCCTCCCCTTTGGTGAAATATCAGGGATCTAAACAGACCCCTGATGTCTCTTATTTGAGACTGAAAAAGAGACTGAGAATATAGATTGAATGAACATGAAGCACTCTAATGCTTCCTGTTCTTTCACAAATTGAAGCATAGTAAACACAGTTTACTATGCTTTACTTATGAATGGACACAGGAATGATCAGTACCAATCACTCACTGTGTTCATTCAGGAAAGGAAAGGGCCAGTAAATAGGACATATTTAACACTCCCCACTCACCATCATGACATTACCCCCCTGTGTGCCTGCAGCAGCAGCCAGCAGGAGAGGCAAGGAGGGAAGCCGGCAGTGCTGCAGGGAAGGGGGGCACTCAGGGGGGGCCCAGACAGCAGGGTCGTGGGGGTGCAGATACTGATCCACCTGCAGTGCAGCCACAGGGAGAAAAAGGAGGAGAAGCTGGCAGGGCTACAGGGGGGGAGCCACAAGAGCCAGCAGTAAGGCAGTACAGACGGCCGTTCTGCTCAGCAGGTGCCCCAAACCTCTTTTGAATTGATGGAGCCAGGACCCAATACAGGAAGGCCGGCTGTACTGCCTTATCAGCAGTCCTGCCTTCAGTCCTGAGCTGCCACCTCTCCCGCTGGTCACAAGTACTTCCATCTTCGCCCAGTCTTCCTTTCAGGTTCGCACTCTCTGGCCGCTTGAATGGCTCAGCTGAAATGACATCACTCCTCCACAGTCACATCATCACGACGAGTGGTGCTGTAAATGCATGTTGAAGCATTTATAAAAACCCTGTCAGAAATGTAATTCCACATTAAGCGTAGCTGCATGCCAGCAGCCCAGGGGGAACCCCGGCATGTACTATTTATTTCTAATGTAGTGCACTACAACCCATGGTGATGTCACCTGTGTTTTGTAGTGTGCTGTAATGTACGCTCCTTGGCAAGGTTATTTTTGGTTGTTTTTAATTTTTGGCTGGAGTTGCGCTTTGATGTGAATTGCAATATCCGTTTACCAATTGCTGTTACTTGTCTCCTGCAATTCTACATCGTATTGCTTAAAGCCAAATATAATTTAATTTACATTTAATTTTCTTTTATAGTTCTAGGAATGTCCTGTGAAACACATATGAGTTATTCTACAAAGGCTTATGTTGGCGAATGGCTTAATATTAAAGATTTTTAAAACTGCTTTAAAATGAATTTTCCTGCAGCAGTCATTGTTAACCTTTACTATATACATGTTGAAATGTATTGGAGGACAGTAATGGGCTCTGTAAGATGCTGCTAGGTGATCTGAAAAATGTAAATATTTCCAGACAAACAGCTAAATATACAGCTGAAATACATATATGTGAAGTGAACAATCTATTTGTAACTCTGGTCAGCCAGCCTTGTGATCCTGGTTCCCCTGCTAGACAGCATAGATGGGTCCCTGACTTCCAAGCACTGATAAGCAGTATAGCTTGATCAAGGACCTGCCCCAGCCTGTTATTGGACAGTGAAGGAGCAGCACCACCCGGAGGAGGGCATCTCTCTGCTTTTTTTCTCATGTCAGCAGGTTCCCACTATGAGATGATAGAAGTTTCCATAATGCAAAAAAAAAAAAAGTCGCACACGTCCTTTCTCAGCGTCTGACAGTCATAACTTTCCCTTCAAAATATAAATGGTTGAAGGCAGGGGTGAATTTTAGTTGCCTAGCCCTTATGCTCATTCTCTGGCTTTAGTACTTTGAGCCATCATGCGGCTCAGGAAAGCCAGAAAAGGGTTGCAGGTTCCAATGATATAGATTTGATGACATGGTGATTACATGATCAGGGGCCATGCTGATTGGTTCTCAACCTTTAGGAGAGAAGGAGCTGTTATCGACAGTGTGGTCTCACAGCTAGGAGCATGCACAGTTGCGTGCTCCTAGCTGTAACAGGGAGCATAAATTAATGTTCTTTCAGTTCAGGACGTTATAAATGTTAAAATAACGGATAGTATAACTAGAAGATGTGTAACTGGCGGCAGCCATATTTGCTCAGTACATCCTTAGTCTCAAGGGGCTATGCCTTACCACTTCAGTTTCAGTGGTCTAATCTGTCCTGATTGAAAACAATAGACTGGACTTTTCCAATAGTAATTTTAGCAGGAATACTAATGACATCCCTTGATGATATTGATGTCCTCTACAGCAGTGGTTATCAAACCTATTGAGACCAAGGCCTGGTAAATTATGCCAAAAAAATCCATGCTCGAACAGTAACAAAAAAAGTTAATAAAAGTATGGGAATGCAAAATATGTATGGAAATGACTCTGAAGGGGCCTTGGTGTCACTGTGTGTGGGGAGGGGGGGGGGGGGAGATTCTGGAGAGGGTTAGAGGACTCTGCAGCAAACTTGTTGGCCCTGTAGAGCATGAGATTTCTGGAGAGGGTCGGGGTCCCTCCAGGAGGCTAGGGGCTTTGCACGGACATTGTGGAAGGTTGGGGGCCTTATGGGGCTAGGAGGCACTGTGGGAGGTTGGGGGCCTTGTGGGGCTATGAGGCACTGTGGGAGGTTGGGGGCCTTGTGGGGCTAGGAGGCACTGTGGGAAGTTGGGGAGAACTGTGGGGCACTATTGAGTATTGGGGGCTCCATGGGTGGCTGGAGGCTCTACAGCAGGCTAGGAGGCACTGTGGGAGACTGGGTGGCACTATGGGGGCTGAGCACTCTCAGGTGGCATGGGAGCACTTTGAGGGTTTGTGGGACGCTGCAAGCAACTGTGGGAGGTTGGTGGCACTATTGTAGTTGAGAGGCACTGTGTGGATCTGCAGATGTCTGAAAGGCCTGGGAGGAGGAAGGCATTGTGAAGGCTGGGTGCTTGGGGCACTGTGGGGGGTCAAGTAACACTGTGGGCAATTATAGGAGGTTAGGAGGCACTGTAGCAGGTTAGGGAATCTGCTGCAGGCTGAAGGCCCAGGAGAAGAGAGATAATGGCCCAACAGTGTGTGTGTGTATATTTGTGCGTGTATGTATGTATGTATGTATGTGTGTATATAAATATACAGTGAGGAACAGAAGTATTTGAACACCCTGTGATTTTGCAAGTTCTCCCACTTAGAAATCATGGAGGGGTCTGAAATTCACATTGTAGGTGCATTCCCACTCTGAGAGACAGAATTAAAAATAAAATTCAGGAAATCACATTGTATGATTTTTAAAGATTTTTTTTGTCTTGCACTGCTGAACATAAGTATTTGAACACCTGAGAAAATCAGTGTTAATATTTGGTACAGAAGCCTTTGTTTGCAATTACAGAGGTCAAACGTTTCCTGTAGTTCTTCACCAGGTTTGCACACACTGCAACAGGGATTTTGGCCCACTCCTCCACACAGATCTCCTCTAGATCTGTCAGGTTTTGGGGCTGTCGTTGAGCAAACCGATCTCACCTCGTGGGGTATCACTGATGATAAGAAAGGTGAGAAATCTGGCCAGGAACTACAGAACCTTGATATGCTTCAATGACATGATCCTGAGCTGCTGGGACCACAGTTTCAAAAGTCACTGTCGGAAGAACACTACGCCGTCGTGGTTTCAAATCATGTATGGCACGGAAGGTTCCCTGCTCAAGTCATCACATGTCCAGGCCCGTCTGAAGTTTGCCAATGACCATCTGGATGATCCAGAGGAGGCATGGGAGAAAGTCATGTGGTCAGAGTAGAACATTTTGGTCTAAACTTCACTCGTCGTGTTTGGAGGAAAAAGAAGGATGAGTTGCATCCCAAGAACACCATCACTACTGTGAAGCATGGGGGTGGTAACATCATGCTTTGGGGGTGCTTTTCTGCGAAGGGGACAGGACGACTGCACTGTATTGAGGAGAGGATGAATGGGGCCATTTATTGTGAGATTTTGAGCAACAACCTCCTTCCTTCAGTCAGAGCGTTGAAGATGGGTCGTTGCTGGGTCTTCCAGCATGACAACGACCCGAAGCACACAGCCAGGATAACCAAGGAGTGGCTCCGTAAGAAGCATATCAAGGTTCTGGAGTGGCCTAGCCAGTCTCCAGACCTAAATCCAATAGAACATCTTTGGAGGGAGCTGAAACTCCATGTTGCTCAGTGACAGCCCCGAAACCTGACAGATCTAGAGGAGATCTGTGTGAGGAGTGGGCCAAAATCCCTGTTGCAGTGTGTGCAAACCTGGTGAAGAACTACAGGAAACATTTGACCTCTTTAATTGCAAACAAAGGCTTCTGTACCAAATATTAACACTGATTTTCTCAGGTGTTCAAATACTTATATTCAGCAGTGCAAGACAAATACATTCTTTAAAAATCATACAATGTGATTTCCTGAATTTTGTTTTTAATTCTGTCTCTCAGAGTGGAAATGCACCTACAATGTGAATTTCAGACCCCTCCATGATTTCTAAGTGGGAGAACTTGCAAAATCGCAGGGTGTTCAAATACTTCTGTTCCTCACTGTATGTATGTGTATGTAGGTGTGTGTATATATATATTTATATTTTTTTTTTTTTTTTTTACTTCTGTGTGACTTGTGCTTTGTGTTGACATTTGTGTCAGGTGTTTATAGTATATTGTAAATTAAAGAAAGCCTTTTACTGTGTGTTGGCGGATGGTTTCCAGTGCTGCTAAACAAAGATTTATTGGAAGGCGTGGGTAAAACAGAGCTTATGTATTCCAAACTGTTTGACTGTTCCAGACAAATCCTCCATCCATCACTGTAGATTAAAGGATTGTGCTGTTTAATGTACAGTACTTGGCTTCGAAAATTGGGAATGTTGTCCAGAGCAGCAGAAGAGACGGACCGAGAGCACAATATAGGAGTTCGCCGACATCCACACACGTCTCTCTGTAATTGAGTTCCTTCCTTATGAAAAGATTAATCCAGAGGACGTACATGATTTGGGAGAGATTTTATATATGTACTGTTTCCCAGTTAATTTTACAATAAATATTCTGTCTTTCTAGTTGCACTCCATATCCAAATGTTTGCCGGAATTGGCAAAACAGCCTGGCTGGATTAATGTCACCATATGACATATGCCCAACAGCATGCTGTCTAGTATCCATTTCCATGAACAGAATTAGAGTTATAGGCTGTAGTTGAGCAGAGGTACATTTAGTAACTGTGCCTGATGTGCACTGTATTCTTGTCATATATTAAAGGAAAACTCCACCTGAAATAGATATTTCAGATATGCGTGGGCACTTAGGCCAAATCACCCACTGCCTTTGTGGAAACTCAAATGGTAAGAGCTCCAAACCATAGTTTGTGTCTCTTCTACAAGCAAAGAGTCACTGTCTCGTACTGGGGATCACTGTCTAGTACTGGGGACATGAAAAGTTAGCATATGGTTCAACTTACCAGCAACCATGCCAAAGTAAACCAGAGGATAGACATATAAAACCTGTAATTTCTGGCTTTTAAAGTTGCAGGCTCCAGGGCTGTCATCCCCATTCTCATTTTACCATCTAGCAAATGTGTAATGAGCATGCTGGATGTCGCTGAAACAGGAAATGAGAAACATCCCCCCAACAGTGACCCAGACAGCAACAAAAAAACAGTTTCAAACAGGCCAGGATCTAGGGGGCTGTTGGGGTGGGCTGGTCCCCCGCGCCCCGATCCCTGAGCGTGCATCCACTAATTCATGAGACTTGATGGGGACATATGATGTAAGGGGGCACTCTGATGGGGGCAGTTGCTGTAAGGGGGTATTCTGATGAGGCAATTGATGTGAGGGGGCACTCTGAGGAGAACAGTTGATGTAAAAGGGTACTCCAAGTGTAAGGGGGGACTCTGATGAGGACTCCTGATGTAAGGAGGGATAATAGGGGGCACAGGTTCTGCTTATTCCTCCTACTCTAATGACAGCCTAATGCATACTAACATTCCCTGTTCACACCTGCACCTCCTCTGTGCTACCTGTGAGACAATATTTCTGGGTTGTGATTTGTGGTATACAAGCATGCTGAGAGAACAAGTAATACTGGTTCCCTGAATCTCTGTCCCACTATTGACATTATGCCCCTGACTTATATTACTGCACCCCCTGGTCAGATAGGTTAGATCCAGCACTGGTTTCAAAACGTTAACCGCTCTATTTAAAGGTTTGGCTGGAGTTTCACTTTAACGGTTATCTCACCTCCACCCTTAACTTAACCCTTTAAAATGAACACCTAACTTTACTGCTAAATGTTAACTTCGCATTAATACCAACATGTATAGGAAAGGTGCATTCCTTGTTCAGTGACGTCTGACTCAAACAATATACAGTAAGTGCTGTCCAGTGCTTTATGTATTTTTATTATATATTCTGGACATTGATACAGCACCAACAATTTACTCCGCTTACAATCTGAGGTCTCTATCTCACATGCCTACACAAATACTAGGAGCATTACAAACGGGAGCCAAATAACCTACAAGCATGTCTTTGGAGTGTGGGATGAACTGGAGTACCCGGAGGAAACCCATACATGTACAGGGGGAACATGCAAGTGACATCTTGAGCGGGAATCAAACTGAGTGCGGCAAGGCAGAAGTGTTGTAATCTAAAGTTAGCCATAAACAGATTTAAATTTGGCCAGTTCTGAAGAGACCAGTAGAATGTTGATTCGTGTGTGGTCATCCCCATCTGACAAAAGTCAATTGTTAGATTGGCTTCTGTCAGACAAGCTGGAAAACATTCGTCGATTAGCAGCTAGTAGCAGCGATTCCCACTGTCAGAATGCAATGTCCAGGTGGGGGGAACCTCATCCACCTCGTCTTTGTAGATGGAAGAATCTGTGTAAAAAAAATGAATCCTCTATGGCTAGCTTAATAGACCTAGTCAGACAAGCCGTGAATTAGGGCATTTGTGTTTGGGGTTTGGACTGCTATATTTACATATGCCAGCATATAATGCTGAAGTGGGAGTGCAAGGAGCACATTTTGTTATTTGCAAGAAAAAAATATGTTAAAAATAATAATATATACTCACACATACTAAAAAGAAGAAAAAAATTGTAATATCGTAGTACTGCTGTGGTTTTGTGTTTTGCAAAAGCTGAACATCTGGCAGCAAAGATACACTTTTTCTTTATTATTTCAATAAACGACAGAAAACTAGAACATTTAACCTTAAAAAAAAGGCTACAATTGGTGCCCGGTAGTGCTCCTTTGGGGCTTGTGAGCAGACTTTGGAGGAGTGTCGGATTTGGCTTTTTACAGAATAAGGTGACCTTTTCTAGTCTACTATTTTGTGGTGGGTATGGTAAAGACTAGTCAGATATTCAAAATTGTGTCTATGCTCCAGGCTGACAAATTGCTCCGTGAAACAGGCTGTGAATGATAAAAGACCCATTGAGATTTGTCTCATTCCACAAAGGCATCTACATTGTATAATCCACAGAAAAGTTCTGCATCACTGAGTCAGTCTCTGACATGTTGTGACCTAGGGCCAAACACATCAGTGGAGGAGGCAGTATCTGGTGGCGTCAGGGGCGGACTGACCATTTGGAAACTCGGGCACTGCCCGAGGGCCCGGGGTCAGTAGGGGGCCCCATGAGATGCCCCTGATACCTTTTTCATAGGCTTTTTTGAGTTTGGGCAAGGACACAGGGGCCCCATGATCCCCTATTGCCCGGGGGCCCCATGAGTTGTCAGTCCGCCCCTGGGTGGCGTGTTGTTGTTCTGAAGCACATAAAGTTTGTTAAATAAGTGAGTAGCCCATGATGAACGTTGGTGCTCTGTTTTCGGTTTTCACATTGATTTCACAGTCTGGGTGGCCTACAACTCTTGAAGCACCCACTCCTAGTTGTAGAGCTGCTAAGGTCATTCCATCAAGTCTTACCACCACCTTTCATTTGAAGGTGTGAAAGATTGGAGTCCAGCATTTCACATCTACTTTTTCTCACATGACAGTGTCCTAACACAGATGAATGGGGCGCAGGTTGCACTTCTGCCCATAATCACAAAGGTTAGATGTGTATTAATCCCAAGTATTATTGTTGGGAACATTAATGAATATTTTTCTGTTTTGTCTCTTTTATCCCACAGAGCAATCTTCGCTGTTCTAGACTTGATGAAATTGGACATGGCTAACTTTGCAATCAGCAGCATCCGGCCTCATCTGATGCAGCAATCTGTGGAATATGAAAGGAAGAAATTTCAGGATTTCTTCGAAAAGCAGCCAAGTATGAACTCTGTTTCTTCCACAAGTTTTTTACTTTTTATAAAATAATTTTTGTGACCTGAATGCTTGCATCGTATCTCATGTTATCAGCCGTTGCAAGTTAAGGATACATAGACCTCTCTAGGCTCTCTCTGGTGGCTGCTCATCTCTATTCTGTCACATCCAGTAGTTGTGTTCATTATGTTAGTCACTGTGCAGAATAAAGCCTGGTACACACACATTACGTTTCTTTTTGTTCAACCCAGCAGGCTGAGTAAAAAAAAAAAAGATAGCTGTACTAACTATGGGATGTAGTGCAGCAATCTCTCCTGCTGTGCTTTTGTGTTCTGACTGAGGGACTGAGCCATGCTCTGTGTCTTATAGACACACAGAGATGGCTTGGGATCGAGCACACAGGTGTGCCACAATAGGAAGTGGCTTCCTCTAGTGGCACACCAAGAAGATGAGGAGCTAGGAGCGCCGGCGGAGGACCCAAGAAGAGGAAGATTGGGGCTGCTCTGTGCAAAACCATTGCACAGAACAGGTAAGTTTGACATGTTTGTTTTTTAAAAATAAATCTTACCAATCACTGTAAGTACAATTATCCACAGCAACTAATCAGGAAATTAATGGTTAAAAAATAGAAATCAAAGAAAACAATCTGCAGAAAAATAATAGTTGAATGGAGAAGGGGTTATTTAGGGCTGATTAGGGTAAATAAAGGGTTATCAAGTGGTTAAAGAGAGACAAAAAAAGTATACATTTTCTTTTTTACTTGTCAGATAGAGGTTAGTACCTTTTGATCTGCAGATGAAAAAAACAATGTTACTTTGTATCTCTCTGTCCCATGTGTGGACAGTGTTGATAAACACAAAAGCTGGCAATAAACAGATTCCTCCACCCACACAAATAAGATGGATGGCGAAATCCACTTTCACCCCTAGACATCTTTTGCCCCGATACAAATCCTAGTAATACCTCAACAGGAATATGCAGTTCAGTTTTTGGCACCAATTCAAAAAAAGAATATCCGAGAACTGGAGACAGTGCAGAGAGGGGCAGCCAAACTGATCAGAGGCATGGAGGATCTTAGCCATGAGGGCAGATTAGAGGAACTGAACTTAATCTTCTTTAAGAAGAGGTGATTTGAGGGAATATGATAACCATGTATAAATACATAAGCTGTCCATAAAGTTATCTTGGTGTAGAGTTTTTCACTTGAAAGTCATTGAAAAGAAAAAGGAGGAAAAGAGGACAGACTTCTTCACAGTAAGAGCTGTGAAAATGTGGAATAGTTTTCTCTTGCGAACATGTTCTAGTTTGTTTCTAGAAAACAAAAGTTGGATGCATTCGTAAAAGCACAGAATGTATAACTGCATAATAACATTTATAAGTAATAATACCAAAAACTGTTGATCCAGGGAATATCTGGTTGCTTTCTAAGGGATCAGGAGGGAATGTCTTTTTCTGTGTTAGGAAAAATAAAACCCTAAAAAGCACATTCCAATTTGCCCAAACTCTGGATCAGCTGTGGCTATATGGTTCTGTATATGGATTTTTTTACATTCATTTGTGTATTCATTTTCTTCTATTGGTTTAACTTGATTAAATTGTATCTTTTTTTTTTAACCTATGTAACTTACTATTTCAAGTTAACGTTTGTAATGTTATGTAGTTGTTGTTGTTGATCTTATTAATAATATAATTAAAACTGCGAAAGAACAACCACTTAATGAAGAATAGTGTCTTCAGTAAGTTAATAGGAACAATCTGAACTTTATACACTGTTGTTGTTTCATTCATAATTGCAGAATAATTATAGAACAATTCTCTTCAGTCTTATCCAGAACTGGAAAACAAAAAGATTATGTTCATGAGAGAATGGCCCTATTATGTTCAGTCTGGGACTCTGCAGTGTTCATGCAGTAATATATGTATTTTTCATGGGACAGCTTTTTAAGGTTTATAAGGAGCCGCCAGCATGTCAAGTCACTGAAATGATATCGAACGTTTAATAAGCCATCAGCAATGTTTCAAGGTTGCAGGGAAATTCTGTATCAAGATATGACCTTGTGTTGTTGGTTATGAATGGCTGGCCAAATCTTACTAGCACTGGTCTTGATGAAGGGAGCCCTGCCTGGCCTTCAAACATCAATTTATGTGTCCTGCTCCTGCAGCTCCCTGGGAGACCCCTTTCACGTAAACCAGGAGGCTGCGGGAGCCCATTCACAGAATGGACAGGGGATGGAGCTCCTACGTCCTCAGGGACAGGGCTAGCTGAACTTGGCATAGCAGGTGAGAGTGGATGGGGCAGATAAAATACCAAGGAGGGGGGGGTGGGGGGGGGGGGGGGGGGGGGGGGGTTGGACCAAACCTTTAAAAACATATTTCCACTGTTGCAGTCAAATTTCAGAAAAACTTACTATGTTTGTGTGTTTCCATTCACACAGCATGTCTACTTTAAAATAAATAAATAATAATAATAAAAAAAATTATATATATATATATATACATTTCTTAGCTTTTTTGTTGTTTCCCAGGAGGAGGTGCCATGTCTGACTGCAAGGTTTATTGAAAATTAATTATACAGTGCTCATGCGTTGATGGATAAGCTGTGATATACAACCTATCAATACAAACTATATGATTAGAAAATTTGCAGAAGTCCTGTATTTGTGTAGAATACCACAATGCATATCAATTAGAAACCAGATGGACCGCGCATAAATATAATCATGTGCATATAATAAAGTCCCAATTGGTGAAAGTGCTTATGCTCAGCTTAATTGCAATATCTTGATTCGTCACTCATCCCAAAAAGTGCTCCACAGTGCTCAACAGAGTGCCCCACATGGACGAACACTCACCCTTAGCCAATGATCATCTATTTCTAGAATGGTCTATAACTCTTTAAGGACAATTCCCAATGAGCCAGTTGTCTCCTAATCTCCACAGGTTGGAGTAGACATGTTACCATGAAAAAAGGAAAATAAGAGGATATCCCATAGTGTAAAACTGTTTGGTAGTTTATTGGGGGGGGTAGAACGATTAAAACTCACTCACAAGTGAAGTGCCTGTGCCTGGCACCCGGTGCACTCAGCCTTGTTACTCCTAAACATGGAAGCTGCTGTGCTGAATGCTCCCCAGAGCGGTGTGCGGTCCATAGGGCAGAAGTGATGTCGGCGGACGCTAGGCAATAGCAAGTATAGAGTTCTCCAGCAGTGCAAAGAAGTAATATCAGACTTGTTCTAGCTGGGAAAGCAGAAGGTGATGTCAGTCCTACTACCAGTATAAGCCGTTACATCCACCTTTATGGAAGCAGAAAAGTGGCGTAATTCTTAGCAGCCAATTAAAACTTATTGTAATGAGCAAGCCCGGATACATTAAAATATAAAAACATACTTAAAATATAACTAAAGGTAAAACGTTTTTTTTTTTTTTTTTTTTTTTGGATGGAGTGGTGATAGATTAGACCACCTGTAAGTTTTTTTTGTTCTCTATGCCCCCATTACTGTGATTCACTCTCGATTTGTCCTGGGGACCATTATCATGGAAGGTGAAAGAAAGTCACAAATTTTGAGTTGTCAACAGAACAGGAAACCCTGGTGACAACCAGAGATTCCTTCACTTTGTGAGATGTTCTTCAACTTCCTGTTTTGGCTATGAACGGGAAGTGAATGGAAATCTCCTCAATGGGGCATAGATGGCAAAAACCTGTCAGGAGTTATAACCCTCACTTACTCTATCCAAAATGATAAAAAATTACCTTTAGTTCCACTTTAAAGTGGGACAGATGTTGCAGTTTAACTTTTTATACAGTTTGAGGTGAGCCTGACCATTTTTTTTTTTTTTTTTACAGTTGGAGAATTTGGCTCCCTCCAGTGTCTTTGATGTTTGTCTTCTTAAATACTGTTTTGTTTGTAATGTTCTATTCTCTTTTTTGTTTTCAGGTTCTCTGGATTGTGTAACCAGCTGGCTTCAGGAAACAGCCAATGACCTGTACTCCAAGGACTCTGCTGGAGCATCTTCTGGATCTCCATGTTCTGCCTCTGTGTTAAATCACGCCTACCTAAAGCTTCTCACATGGGATCATGAGCAGAGACCTTTCCCAGAGGTACGGATCACTTACTAATGTTTGCATCCAGATTGGATACTATTTGGAGAAGGAGTCAGGGACTATAAGAATATCTTTAACATGGTGACATGGTATTTGTAATGGTCTTTGCAATCCTCACTGCTAAAATTTTAGCAGTGATCCTAAAGAGTATGCAAACACAACATTTCATACTCCTGATATGTGCCTGCTGTACCATGTACTTGTATGAAAAAGTATCCTGTTCTTTGAATTGCTTCCTTTGTGTGAAATCCCTGGTGCTTCTGCCAGTCCCTCTGCTTTCCTATTAAAAACTGACCACACTAAGCAGGAGAGCACATCGTGGTCAGTTCTTTAGCTGTGCTGGGAACACAGCCTGCTCTCCTCCAATGATCAGACTTGTCCTGTCCCCTCCCCCCCGCACAGCCATTTACTGGGAAGTTCAGTGTACTGCTGTTTATCCTCCCCCAGCTCTTATGCAGCTGAGAGCAGAGGGTATGTGATCACTTATAAAAAAGAGAAAAAAGTTTTTATATATCTATACACAAATGTTTTGTCTTTCATTTCTATTTTAAACTGAATGGATTGTTTTTCAAGGTGAGGGTTTATGTACACTTTAACCCTTTTCCATTGCCTCCCACCAGCTCTTTAAGTGGATCTGATCTTAATGCCCAGAAGTGGAGTTCCTTATAATGTGATCACTGTGCTATGGTCCCATACATATTGGCGGATTAGCTGTGGTCAGAACTGCAGAAATGCCAGGGTTGCGTCCAGGGTAGGTTGGAGGATCTATTTACTCAGATTAGCAGTACATGTAAACAGCGGCAGTGACGGCCATTGCTTTATGCATATTACAAATCTTACAGCTGCTGCTGGTCGTGCACATTGTGTGCACCCCCGCCTTCAGTTTTTCACATGCACTGCAAGCAGTGTACATATACACAAACACACACAGACACACTGTGCCCACTAGCAATTTATTTTTAGCCATTTGTATTTTTATCTCTGTTTTTAAACTGTCCCTGTCATTGGTAAAACTAATGTAAATTAAACCCATCCATATAAAAGAAGTAGGCATACTCCTACCTACCTATCAGGAAAGAAGAATGTAGCAACCAAATGCATGTACTCCTGCGCTGAACTGTGGACTCCCCGCTATTGTGATCCCCACATGGGAAAAGAAATGCAGGCCTTGCTGCCCTCAATGGACCAGAGATATCCAAAAGAAACTGTGTGTGAAAGACAAAAAAGAGGGCGCACAGGCCTAGTACATTACCTTTAAAAATAGGATTTATCTCCTAGATTGTAAGCTCGAAAGAGCAGGGCCCTCAATCCCCTCATGTTTTGCATTGTATTGGTATTGTTCTGTCACATGTTCTGTCCCCCTTTGTAATGTACAGCGCTGAGCGAACTATTGGCACTTTATAAATACTGTATAATAATAATCATAATAATTGATAAAAAGTAAATACTTACAAAATTAAAATGATGTAAAATCAGATAAACACAGGAAGCATGTCACACGAGATATGCAGTATGGTACAGGAACCCCTGTGGGTGGTCTGGTGGGAGACTGGAAGCCTCTGGCTAGCTGGTGGCTGATGCGTTTCGAGGAAGCGCCTCTTCTTCAGAGCCAATGTGTGTCACACATTGCTGTGTTTATCTGATTTTACATCATTTTAATTTTGTGAGTATTTACTTTTTATAAATAAATCCTATTTTTTAGGTAATGCACTAGGCCTGTGCGCCATCTTTTTTTGTCTTTCCTACCTACCTATGCCAGACACAAATCTGCAAAGTGAAACAAAATGGGCACCAACCTTGCGCATTACCTCAGTAAACTGTGATTTTATTAAATTGAGAATAATACTCACAAACAACGAAGTGAATCAAGCATATAAGTCCTCAAAGGAACTTTAGGAGTCTAGAGCCAGTGCGAGTCACATCGCAGGGGTGGACTCTCAAAGTACAGCTAATGCGTTTCGAAGGGGGTCCCTTCTTCATCAGAGCTAGACACAAATCTGCTGCAGCCTCTTACATTGTGACTCACTACAAAGTTACAATGTACAATCTGATCACTAATGTAGAGCAGATTGAAGAAATGGTACCTCCTGCCTGCCTGACTGAAGACATCCTATCTGCCTAGGTAAATTAATTTCACTGTAGATCAAGGCTTGATTTTGAATGGTATCAGGTAAAGGCTTTGTTTGTGACTATACTGTTTTTGTATATTGTGACAGGTCGAGATTGAATGTAAAAATACTGAAAGGTTAATTTTAAAGTGGTTGTAAACCCTTACACATACCTAGTGAAGTGACCTGTTTCAGGTGATACAGAGATATGAAACAAATCCTCCCACATAAGTTGTACTTGTTTATCTATAGCCATTTCTTCTCTACGTCTGTTCAAAGTGCTTATTTTATAGTTTTAAGTTTGTCTGAGAGTTCAGATAAAAAAACAGGGGGGCGTGGAGTTGAAATTACACACTGCAGAGCTCAGTGAGAAGAACTCAGATAGCTGATTGGAGGGAAGAGACACCCTCACCCCCCAGGAAAAAGAGCTGAGGCTGTCATTCTGCTGGAGCTCCCTCCCGTCCCCTTTTTTCTCTTGGTGTCAGGAAACTTGTGAGAAATGACTTGTGCGGATAGCAGAGGAACGAGGCAGCAAATAGCAATGATACGTAGTGCTCTTGAGACAAGTACACAGCACAGAAGGATATGCTTTGTTCATATTTCATCTCTGAGGTTTACAACCACTTTAAGCTAAAATAAGATATTATATTTTTTTTATATATTACTAGGAGGACCTCTAGGCTCCTACTTACTTGCTTTAATTTTTATACTGACATGTTTCCTCCCCATAGACTGTAGTGATGGACCAGATCCGATTTCAGGAGATGAAGCTGGAATTGTTGCAGCTCACCTTGGTGGGGACTTTGCTGCTTATAACTCACAACTCTGCTGGTCCTGCTGTCTCGGGTCTTCCAGGTTTTTACAGAGCAGATGAAGAGTCTTATCAGGCTTTTGCTAGAGGGAGTGGGAACTCCGTAAGTACACTTATCAATTTATTGGCATTTAAAAAATAATCTGGATGACATGAGCATTGCAGAGGCCTTCCTATGGCAGATGTACATAGCTACGTTTTTTAAAAGATAGTCTTTTATTTCTCATGTGTTAGTGCAAGGCTGGCCATACCCTATACAATCTGTGTACAATCTTCTTTGGATTTACCAAAAATGTGTAATATAAGGACACACCTAGACAATCAGTTCAAGTAGTGCCAATCAGGCAAATCTTTGCATGACATAGTTGATGGTAGATCAAAAGTAGGTTGTACAATCAGATTGTATAGTCAGCTTAACAGCTTCCTCATTTATGAAAGGTCTAGTGCAGTGCTTCTTAACCTTTTGGAGAACAAGGCCTGGTAAAATCTTCCAAAATCATCCTTACCCTAGCAGTAAAATAAAAAAGCAAAGTTTATACTTATAGAAGAAATGTATGGGAACACAAAACCTGTATTGAAGTGTTGGAAGGCTCTGGATGGGGCTGGGTGTCACTGTTGGGGGGAGGGGGTTATGGAGAAGGTTAGGGGACTCTGTAGCAAAATTTGGTGGCCCTGTAGAGAATAAGGCTTCTGGAGGGGGTTGGGAGGCACTTTTAGAGGTTGGGGGCACTGTGGTGGGTTGGAGGCTCTGTAGGATGTTGAAGAGTACTGTGGAGGCTGAGGGTTCTTAGGGAGCCTGGGAGGACTCTGGCTCATTGTGGGATGTCTTGGGAGGGGGGCACTATAGGAGCTTGGAAGGCACTGTGAAAGGTTAAAGTAGGGTATACATAAACTTTATTTTTTTTTTTTCATTCAACCTGCATCCTCTGCATCCACATACTGAAATTCGGCCAGTTCCTGCTGAACCAGCTGAAATTCAATACATGTATACCCAGCGATTCCATTTAATATGGTAATTGATGTAGCACCCTCCTAGGTTAGAGTAGGCTGCTAGGCCAAATTTAGTTTTAGCTCCTCTGTAATTAGAGGAGCAGGGGTTAATTTGGGCCACTCAGGGTTTCACAGGCTGCTGCTCTGCTAATTCCCCTGTCTTCAAGAGAGAGCTGTAACATTGTGGCAGGGAGGAGAGAGTTTGCAGCCTGAATATTCAGCCAATCCATGGGGAGGTGTGCCCAGAAGATGGTGGTAGGGGGCTCATAAATAGTGTGTGTGTGTGTGTGTCAGTGTTCCTGAGTCTAGCCTGCTGGAGGAGACCCCTGTTAAGGGGCCTTGTCCTCCTGAGCAGAAGCCTTGGAAGAAAGCCAGCCTGAAGACACCAAGGTCTTAGTTAGCTTGGGGGCCTTTTCGCAAAGCTAGCCCAAGAATCCAGTGGGGCCAGGAGAGAGCTCATGGTATAGAGCTGGGAGGAAGCTCTGGGACAGAGACCAAGTTATCCAGTGGTGGTGTGAGTCTACATCTCCATTATTATGGTATAGAGCTGGGAGGAAGCTCTGGGACAGAGACCAAGTTATCCAGTGGTGGTGTGAGTCTACATCTCCATTATTATGGTATAGAGCTGGGAGGAAGCTCTGGGACAGAGACCAAGTTATCCAGTGGTGGTGTGAGTCTACATCTCCATTATTATGGTATAGAGCTGGGAGGAAGCTCTGGGACAGAGACCAAGTTATCCAGTGGTGGTGTGAGTCTACATCTCCATTATTATGGTATAGAGCTGGGAGGACAGAGAGTTATCCCAGTGAGGAGCCAGGAGGCAACTGATGATCTTGCTGGGTGAGTTAGCACAGTACTCCAGTTTTTGCAAGGGTAACAGTAAGGTACTTTGGTGAAAGTACAGGTCACAGACAGCCGCAGATTCTGTGGGATTTTGTTGGGATCATGCAACCAGAAGTTGTGCAGTAAAGCCAAGATGTTGTGCCATACAGCCGAGAGTTGTGCAAGACATTCAGGATTTGTGCAGAGCAGCCAGAAGATAAGTAGTCCTCAAGTTGTTCAAATTTTTACAGTTCCTGGGTTTCCAATGCTACCTATCGCTATCCATGTTCACCAATAAAAACACAAAAAGAAACCCCGAGACTGTTCTTTGAGCCAGAGGAAGAATGTTGTAAAATGCTTTGTGCCTGGCTGTGTGTGCTGCAAGGGGAAAATAGGACTTAATTCAGCAGCAGCTCTTTAAGGGGTGTGCTAAATTATTAACAAGCGTATTTTTTCTCTGCTCAGAGGTGTGAGTACAGACGATGCTCTCACCACACTCAGTGAGAAGATCTGTGTGGAAGTTGCCAGGTGCCTGAGTCAGCATGGATCCACTCCCTTCTCTCCAGAGAGAGAGGAATCTCTTAAAGGACAAATTCGGACTGCCTCATCTCCATCCAATCAGATATATCGATTAATAGGTAATATTTTTTTGTTTAACAATCATCAGAATAAATACATGATTTCTTTTGTTAGTTTTTCCCAGAATTGGCAGAATGCTTTGCATGTCCTGTTGCTCTTTCTATGGCATAGGATGGAATGGTTTAAAAAGGAATCTGTTCAGTATGTGTACAATGCTAGCAAAGCTTCTGGGTACACTTGAAAAGTCTATGCACTTCTAGATTGCAATATAATCTTGACAATCATTGGCCGTCTTCCCTACTGTACTCTAAAAACTGCTCTTATTACTGCCTGTACCCCCATCAGAGAGATTTTGCTTTCTTCCTGTCTCAGCGACCACAAAGACAGTGACAGAAAATCTTCCCAATGGCTACAGAAATGATGGAAAAAACCAAATGGAGGTTTCTACTCAATCATATGTTATATAGAGCAAGCACCAAAAAAAAAAGCTTGGCTTGATTTGAACTTTGGGAGAAAAAATTAGATGCCTCCATGGGGTGGATAGTTACCATATACATCAGTGTTTCAGATGTGTTTTGGCATCTTGTGATCTGAGAGTCATATCCCCATATTTATAATATAATTTTGTTTCTTTCAGAATCCAGGATTCATTCATTTTTATTGAGCTACCTATCCACTGCTAACCAGAGATCCAGCCCTGCCCTGCCTGGTGGCCTCGGCCCCATACAGAAAGAACTAGAAGAACTGGCTGTGAAATTTGTACGCCTTGTCAACTATAACAAAATGGTGTTCAGTCCTTACTATGACTCCGTCCTGAGCAAAATCCTGAACAAACAAGACACACAGCCTTGAGTTTGCAATTGATATATTGACCGAGAAGAAGACGACTTACCACCACCTCTGCTTTGCATTAAATAGCTTTCAGTGTACAAGACGCAATGCTGGCCGACAGCAAACACATTAATCCCCCACACAGGATATTAGGAATACCAAAATAAATATTTAATTCATGTCTACAGGAAAATTCACTACTGGTAAAAGTCAGGAGAGATGACCTTCCCAACTGGGAAGTTTAACTGTCTGGATCTGGAAAAGCATACGGGTTCCATAGTGGGAATTTATTATTCTGACTAATGCCTATAAGGACAGAGATTCCACGGATCTCAGGAAGACTATGTATTACCACTGGTGATAAGCTAAGGTCTGGGCTGAACTGTGGGAAACTGTCATGATAGCAGGCTGCCGCTCCACTCACCTGGGGTTGGTGAATTCCCCACCCTGTAACTGTATGTAACAAAGGGATGGGGATATTGGTGACAGCATTGACCTAATATGACCACATGGACAATGACTGAGCTAGTGGCCTGCTATCATGTGACAGTTTCCCGCAGGTTTGGCCTGAACCTTAGCTCATGACTAACTGACACAATGGGGTTTATTTACTAAAGCTGGAGAGTGCAAAATCAGACTCCCTTCTGCATAGAAACCAATCAGCTTCTAACCTCAGCTTGTTCAATGCAGCTTTGGCAATGAAACCTGGAAGCTGATTGGTTTCTATGCAGAAGTGAGTCTGATTTTGCACTCTCCAGCTTTAGTAAATAAACCCCTATGCTTCATAGTGTTTTTGTGGCTAACTTGTCTCTTGAAATAGGTGCAGTTCAGCTGCTCAACATTCCTGTTTGGTGTTTTGGTCAGAAAATTGTGAATTTGGCTGTAAACATGAACCATAAATCTGCTAATCTACATGTTATGTGCTATTGGGCAGCAGACATGAAAGCTTTCTTTAATCACTGTTGTTCCCTTAAAGCCTAACTCTAGATTTACTTTTACCCTAAATAGTTTGTTGAGGCTAACCTGTCCCAAATGAAATATCTTTACTGTATAAATTGGATGTAGCATTAGCTACGTACAGTATGTAGCACCATGTGCCAGAAGTGGTGGTACAAGGACTTCCCATCTACTGATAGAACAAAATTGAGGAGGGCTGAGCGCTGCTTAGCCATTCATAAAGAGCCCTGTGTGTTTATCAATGAATACAAGGCTTCTTATGACTGGCTGAGGTGGAGAGGTGGGTGGATGATGTCACAATCTCCACTTCCGTCCTCAAGCAGAGAAAGCCTTGTATTCATTAATAAAAATACAAAGCCTCCTTTGATGGCTGAGCAGCCCTCAGCTCTACTTGATTTTGTTTTGGCAACTTGGCCCAAACTAACTATTACAAGTGAAAGTAAGCGTCATATGAGGCTTTAACATTAACTGGTGTCTGGTCATGCTTCCTTCTCCCTGCAGCCATAAACCTCTATGCTAATATAATAGGAAACCGCTTATAGCACGTTCTGCCCCCCATGTGTAACAGCATGCTGACAGATTACACTGTAACAAATCTTAACCCTCACGCCGGCCGCACGCAAATGTGTGGCCTCCCGGCATCTGGGCCTAGACGCCGAGCGGCCGCACATTTGCGTTCATGTAGCAAAAAAACATATGTGGTGAGAACGCGTGCCCTGCGCGCTCCCAGCACACGTGAGGTACTCATGGAAAGGTCCCAGTCCGCTCTTTCGATCAGGACCTTTCCCGATTATGTGACCGGTCGTGACGTCACGGCGGCCACATGACACTAAGCCACGCCCCGTCCCACCCCCCCCTCCCGGCGCAGGGACTCCTCTTCACACCGGAACTATCCGGCGTAAAGGAGTTAAGCTAGGTTCACACTTGTGCGACCTGCATTCTGCATAAATGCAGCCCATTCATGTCAGTGGGCTACCCTATCCACTGAAATGCAGGGGAAGAAGTCCCTGCCTTTTTTTTTTTCTCTTCAACTTGCGTGGCACCGTTTAGTCTGTGGGTCAGGAATATGCACAATTTTGCAAGCTTTCCCAACACTCACAAAATGTGAAGCTAGTCTTAATATATATATCCAGTCAAAACAATTTTCTTATTTTGGAGAGTGTTGAACCATAAGGACCCTTGTTTGGTTTTACATGTGGACTGGGGCTCCATTAAGCCGTCCATACACCAGAAGAATTTTGTTTGAAAATTTACATTTTTGGAAAACTTGTCTATTTGTCACAACTAATCATTAGAAAATGGAACAATTGTTTTTTGGGTGTAGTGATAAGAAAATGTAAACGAGCACAATGGAAGCTTTTTCTCATTTCCTATATGAGCGAAAGAAATTCTGATTGTGATTTACATCAGGAAAAAAGTGCACCTATTTTAATGCCTTGCTGTTGTGGCTCTGGCAGTGAACACTGTCTAATGCCAGAAGGAAGCCCAAAACTCACTGTTTAGGCAGCCATACATGGCTCGAAATTTAAGCTGTGAGAGGACTTGTTGGTACCATCAAGCTCAACAAACGTTGATGTAAATGCTAAGTTCATCTTTTTAAAAAAAAATTATAAATGCACATATTTTTGCAGAAAAACAACTGCATTTATTATTTTTTTTTTCCTGCAAGAACCTGGAAAGCATTGCACCCATTATCAGCTGATCTGAGGTGCAATCTCAGGCTTCTGCAGCCAAGTCCTGCAGCTTTTAGGCTGTACCTTTGTATTGGCTGTTTACAAGCTGCAGGGCTTGTGAATGAACTATGGGAGAGCTCACCACGGCCTTCGAAGTTCATTCAGAACTACAAGCCATCAGCCACAATGGATGATGGTAGTTCAAGGTCATTCATTGATGGGATTTTGTGAATGAATGATGTGGCTGTATGGGCCACGCTGTTTTTGAATTGTGACAGCAGGCGCAGGGAGAGAATCCTTCACCCGCTGTTACAATGTCGCCGGCATCAGAGGGAGAGGCTGCGGGAACTGGAACCCTAAATACAGGTGGAACATGTTGCATGTTCCAAAAGTGAACTTAGGATGCACTCTTAGTTTGACTGATAGTTTTTCACCCAGCTCTATAGCTTTTTAAAGACTTATCAGATGCAGTCACTAGTCTGGTATTACACATAACAGTACATACAATTTCACGTACAATCTCTAGCACTGCAGATACCCTCATCCACACTGTTTAGCATGGATGGAGGAATCTACTTTTATTATACATTCTTTATTTTTCAGACTAAAAAAAGTTGTACATTTTATTCCAAAACATCCAACACAAATTGGAACAGTGAAAATAATACAGTCGGAACCATCCTAAATTGGATGCAGTAAGAATGAAAATACACAATTCCTTATGAAAGAAGTCCTTGTGTCTCATACGGAGGAAATTAAAGTGACAAACTTCTGTTCTATGCGTCCAGCTAGAAGAATAGCTATGCAGGTGACCAGCTACTACAAAGAGCAGAGTAGATAGACTCCGCTTACATACATCATTGGCTTGGTCACTGCTCTGGACTGTGCTGGTCAAAAATCTACACTCAGGTCCGGGTAAAAAAAAAAAAATCTTTTTTTTTTTCCGGATGGAGGAATCTATTGAACTTCTCTTCAGCCCCTGGCTTGAAAGAGAAATCTTCAGGGTTGATTTAGAAAGAATTTGCATACCCATTCACCCAGTAAGGATGCATCCACATTTGTTCCATGTGAATGGGGCAAAAACCAAATGTTAATAGTCTATATCCTGTGCTTCTTGATTGATTTTAGGTGTGAAATATTGCATATGGCCACTATATTGGGTGGATGATATTACTATATTGGGGGGATGAGTAATTACATGGGGAGGATGAATTACTATTATGGGGATTGAATTACAATGGGTATGAGATTTACTATAGGGGGATGAATTACTATGGGACGAATTACTATAGGGTGGAATACTATAGGTGACGAATTACTATATGGGGGATTGAAATAACTATGGTGGGGAGCGAATTACTAAATGAGGGAGTGAATTACTCGTATGGGGGGGAGCTATATGGGGGGGGAATTATTACTATACTATTGGAATTTCTTACAATACTTAACTCCATCTAGTGGGTATTCTCTGTTTAAAAAGCGATGATTTAGCCTAGGTTCACACTAGAATGTTGCATTTCCCCTCTCACAACATTAAAATTGCACTGCCCTTGCGATCTGCAGCAGGTGTCATTGCAATCTTAACGACACCCCAAATGCAGGGCACAAATGCAGTGCATTTACCTACATCATATTGCATGGTAGAACTTCTAAAGAGCAGAGCCCTCTGATCCCTAATGTATTCATTTGTATTGTAATTGTACTGTCTGCCTGTATGTTGTAAAGTGCTGAGTACACTGTTGGCACTATCTAACTCCTTTATAATAATATTAATAATTACAGAAAACAACCATGAAATGCAGTTGCAGTGCAGCTCCAAAATTTGTGCATGCATGTCTTTGGTGTGATGCGGTGCGATTTAAACCCATTGAAAATGAATCGGCTTAAACTGCACCACAATGAATCGTATGTGAATTGCACAGGAATTTGCGCAGCGGTTCCTGTACGATTCATATGTGGGGTATTACAGTCAAAATCACAGGATCTAGTCTAATAACATTGTTTTTGCGCCTTTCACACACAATGAATGTACATCTAATTTCACTGCGAGAATGGCCATGCAAGTGCGTATGGCTGGCCTTACAGTAGTATGTTGGTTACAGAGTAGCAGGCACGGAATAAGATTGCTTTTGTGTTTAGGTCATTGCTGAATTCAGATTATGACATAGAGGAACTGTGAGTTTCAATATGGAGATAACAGTGAAGTGTCTTCTTGCCCTTGTTTCAATAGGCATCTTAGCTGCAATGGGGTGAAATTTGTTGCTGACCATATTGAATCTTGTAAAGGAAATGAGACCATGCTGTAAGTCCTACTAGTTGTATTTATTTATTTCAGGTACTTATATAGCACCGTCAATTTACGCAGAGCTTTGCATATATATTTATTGTATA